GTTAACTCATAGACATCAGATGTGACCCTGACTACACCAGCTTTTTGACGTCACAGGCCAGGCAACGCTTGGAAACCACTGTTTATCTTTAACAATGTGTTGTTGTATTTAAAAGCTTGTTGTGGTTAAATCTTTATGTTAAAAAATCTTGTAACCGAAGCTGTCAAATGAATGTGATTAGTGATGGGGGCATGGAAATACGTCAAGTAAAGTAACGTCCCTCAGAAATGCCTGTGCGTACTTGAGTAAATGCACTTAGTTACTTTTCCACCACCGGTTTCCTCAGTTAAATTTGCTCTGGACGATTTCCATAAAACAACCTGAAAAGGATACTGCAGAATTGATAGATCCGTGTGCTGAGTGTGATGTGATGGACACTGAAAGTCCTACACGAGCCTCCCTGAGCTGCGACACAGCACAGACATCCTGCATGAAATAGAGAGCCGGGCTGCTGACAGCATCATACAAACAGAAGCAGCCATGTCTAAATATAGGCCCTATAGCTTAGACACATCCTGCCCGTCTGAAAAAGCTGTGTGAGGCCGGCGCTGGTCAAATCAGGAATGTTTTGTTGAAATAATAAACCTCCCCACATTTGAGGAGAGGAACTCACAATCACAAGCATTTCCTGTGTATAGGATTCTTTTGGTCAGACGTGAATAAAACATGATGAAAACCTTGGAGGGAAAAATGGAGCAGAGGGTGAGAGACGAGTGGAAAGAAAAGAAGTGAGAAGTATCAGTTTAAACTCAACACTTGCACTTTTGTCTCTTTTGGGATTTGGGTGCAACTAACACAATGCCCGCTGCGATCGGCCCCGCCGGCTCCCCGTCCTCCACAGTCTTCTAAAAGCCAAGTGAGTTAATAAATGTTAGTTATCTGACGGTCACTGTGGGTGTTTGAACAGTAAGAGATCCTCATGAGAAAGCAGCTCAGACGAAAAGGGAAATCCTCTGTGTTTTATTCGTTATGTGAGAAAACAAACTGTGGTGATGGGCTGCGGTCGGAGCATCAGAACCAGTCTGAACCGAGCTCCAGCAGCCACACAGGGTGGGGTGGGGGTGGTGGGGGGTGGGGGGTGTGCTGGTCAGTCAGGTAAGAGCGGGACAAACTTCTAATTCTGGATTATGTTGAGTTTATTTATCAGACGGAGACACGTCTGCTTCTTCTGTGTAGTTTATCACAATATTTGCACAATTTGTTTTTTTTTCATTTTCAGCTGCTATTTGTCTGAAATGTATTTACTTTAATTATCTTCCCTATTTCAGTCTGTTTAGACTCATTTATACACACCTATATAAAGAAAGATGTCTTTTGATAACTTTCTTTTTAAACATGCATACACAACACACAACACAACGGACCCTTGAGTTTAAATATCAAAATTATCGTTTTGAAATCTAGTCAGGAGTAGAATAGAGTGAGTGAGGTGGCTGTGAAGTAAAGATTTTATTAATGGTTTTTAAAGTTTTAGCAAATGGGTTTTCTCTTGATTTGATGACGTTCTGCCAGCTGTGGTCTCAGTTTTTAGTTAACATTCATTCAGTCTTGAGTGTCTCCTGTGACATCGATTTGCATCATTAATAGTATATGTGTTGAAAAAGGCCCACTGTTCCCTCATCCTGTTAATGGGCAAAGAGGTCATCTGAAAGCTCAAGGGGTTACATGTTACATTCCTACATGTTACATTTTTCTACATGTTACATGTTACATGTTACATGTGGGTTGAGTTTTTAAGTAACTTCAGGTGTCTTGTGTTCAAGGACATACAGTGTGTGTCAGTAGTAGAATATGTAAATGTGTGTTTGTAGTCGGTTGCTATTGGTTGTCAACATAAGGTGATGTGTAACTCGACCAACCTGTGTTCACTTCTTTCTCCCTCGTTCTTGTACTTGTTCTGTAAAAGGGTTACTCTGACTCTGTGTTGTTGGATAAGGAACGAGTATGAGTTCTGTCCCCTTATTGATCTATAATAATCTTTTTTTTATTAATCCTTGAGTTGGTCAGTGTGTATCTGTGCTTTTCATTTCTGTGTTTGTGTCCAGTGTTTGCTGTTGCTCTTTCTCCCATTTTCTTTGTCTAACTGCAGAATCAGATCATTTGACTCTGCAGCTGATGAGGGAATGGGGGCGAGCATGTGACTGGGAAGCACTGGGGTTACAGTTAGTAAAGCCGGCAGAGAATAAATGAATAGCTGAATGAGCTGTGTCAGAAAATATGTCTCTCTTTTGTCAGCTCAGTCACGATGTGAAAACATGCCAAGGTTGATCAGTATAAAGTCACATGTGAATAGACAAAAGCAGGGTGGTTACCTGGTGCAAAGAGAGGAGGAGATGCAGCTGTGTATAGTTCAGCAGGGGTGAATGAATCTAAGGCGACCTCAGCACAGCAGTTGAAGAGTGTCAGAATATCAGAGTCTTTTTCCTCACATGCTGGACTCAAACTGAGGCTGCATTTATCACAATATCAATTTTTTTAATTCCATCAATCTTTTATTGGTGATAGACATAATAAACACAATGTTTTGGCTGTGCCGTTTCAACAGCTCCACTCATACCGGTGAACTGACATCAAGTCCATAGACTTATTCACACATAATGACTGTAGGCATTCCTTCAGACCTGGACACCTCAGATAAAATGATATGTTGTGAAATAAATGCAGCCTACTAGTTTGAGTCCAGCAATGTGAGAAAAAAGAGCTCTGATATTCCGACACTCCTTCAAACTGCTGTGCTGAGGTCGCCTTAGATTCCATTCACCCTGTGAACATATACACAGTTGCATCTCCTCCTCTCTTTGCACCAGGTTAACCACCCTGTTTTGTCTATTCACATGTGACTTTATAACTGCTTCACCTTGGCATGTTTTCAACATCGTGACTGATGCTACAAAAGAAGAGACATATTTCTGCACAAGCTCATATTCAGCTATTCATTTATTCTCTGCCGGCTTTACTAACTGTAATCCCAGTGCTTCCAGTCACATGCTCGCCCCCACCATTCCCTCATCAGCTGTCAGAGTTCAATGAATGATTCTGCAGTTAGACAAAGAAAATGGAGAAAGAGCACCGCAAAACACTGACACAAACACCAGAAATGAAAGCACAGATACCACACTGACCAACTCAAGTGATTAATAAAAAAAGATTATTATAGATCAAAAGGGGAACAGAACTCAATACCGTTCCTTATCCGCAACAACACAGAGTCAGTAGTACCCTTTTACAGAACAAAGTACAAGAACGAGGGAGAAAAGAACGTGAACACAGGTTGGCGAGTTACACATCACCTTATGTTGACAACCAATAGCAACCGAACCTACAAACACACATTTACATATCTACTACTGACACCACTGTATGTCGCTTGCAACACAAGACACCTGAAAAGTTACTTAAAAACTCACCCACATGTAAACATGTAAATGTAACATGTAGAATGTAACATGTAGTGAATTAACAATGTAACCCCTTGAGGCTTCAGAATGACCTCTTTTGCCCATTAAACAGGATGAGGGAACAGTGGCCTTTTTTCAAACATATACTATTATAGATGGCAAATCTGAGTGTCACAGGAAGACACTCAAGAACTGAATTGAATGGTTTAACTAAAAACTGAGACCACAGCTGGCAGAACGTCATCAAATAGAGAAAAACCCATTTGCTAAACTTTAAAAACCATTAAATAAAATCTTTACTCACAGCCACCTCACTCACTCTATCTACTCCTGCTAGATTATCAAACGATAATTTGAAATATTTAAACTCAAGGGTCGTTGTGTTTGTGTTTGTTTGTGTATGCATGTTTAAAAAGAAACAAAGTTCATATCAAAAGCACATCTTCTTTATGAAGGTGTGTATTAAATGAGTCTAAAAGACTGAAATAGGGAAGATAATTTAAAGTAAATACTTTCCAGACAAAAATAGCAGCTGAAAAATGAAAAAAACTAAATGTGCAAATATTTTGATAAACTACACAGAAGAAGCCAGACGTGTCTTCCGTCTGATAAATAAACTCAACATAATCCAGAATTAGAAGTTTGTCCCGCTCTAACCTGAACTGACCGCCCCATCCCCCACCTCCCCAACCCACCCCACCCCCCACCCTGTGTGGCTGCTGGAGCTCGGTTCAGACTGGTTCTGATGCTCCGACCGCAGCCCATCACCACAGTTTGTTTTCTCACATAACGAATAAAACACAGAGGATTTCCCTTTCGTCTGAGCTGCTTTCTCATGAGGATCTCTTACTGTTCAAACACCCACAGTGACCGTCAGATAACTAACATTTATTAACTCACTTGGCTTTTAGAAGACTGTGGAGGACGGGGAGCCGGCGGGGCCGATCGCAGCGGGTCATGTGTTAGTTGCACCCAAATCCCAAAAGAGACAAAAGTGCCAAGTGTTGAGTTAAACTGATACTTCTCACTTCTTTTCTTTCCACTCGTCTCTCACCCTCTGCTCCATTCTTTCCCCTCCAAGGTTTTCATCATGTTTTATTTACACGTCTGACCAAAAGAATCCTATACACAGGAAATGCTTGTGATTGTGAGTTCCTCTCCTCAAATGTGGGGAGGTTTATTTATTTCAACAAACATTCCTGATTTGCACAGCGCCGGCCTCACACAGCTTTTTCAGACGGGCATGTGTCTAAGCTATAGGCCTATATTTAGACATGGCTGCTCTCTGTTTGTAATGATGCTGTCAGCAGCGCTCTCTGATTTCATGCAGGTGTCTGTGGTGTCGCAGCTCAGGGAGGCTCGTGTAGGACTTTCAGTGCCATCACATCCACACGAGGATCTATAGCGACTCGCTCGTCAGTTCAACTTTTCAGGTTGTTTTATGGAACATCGTCCAGAGCAATTTAACTGAGGAACCGGTGGTGGAAAAGTAACTAAGTGCATTTACTCAAGTACTGCACAGGACATTTCTGAGGGACTTGTACTTTACTTGAGTATCTCCATGCTACTTCCACTCCACTACATTCATTTGACAGCTTCGGTTACAAGTTACTTTTAACATAAAGATTTTACACAAACAAGCTTTTAAATACAACACATTGTTAAAGATAAAAGCAGTGGTTTCCAAGCGTCCTGGCCTGTGACGTCTTACAAAAGCTGCGTGTAGTCAGGGTCACATCTGATGTCTATGAGTTAACAGTTCCACCAAGCAGTGATTTTTCCCTCTAAACCTCCCAGGGTTTCATTTCTATAAATGTTCAAATGATCCAATATCTCACCAACAATCAAAGATTAAAAAAAAACTGAAAACAGGTTTGTGAATCAGAACTTTGTTTTTTCTTCTTTCCCTTTAATCATCCCACGACCCCTCATTTATCTGGTCTCCCTGTTTATAGAAATCTATTTAAAGTAGTTCAGACCAGCTCCACCTGCAGCAGCTACAACAGTAACATGCTGCTCACACACTGATGCTTCAGTATTGATCATCTAATGATGTCATATATAATAATAGAACAGTCAGAGACCCAACAGGACCTTTACTTCAGTATTTCAACTTCATTTTGATGGTCATACTTTTGACTTTTACTATTTTCATGCAGGACTTGTAATATTTCTACATTGATACTTTTGCTTCAGTAAAGGGACTGAATACTTCCCCCTCCACTGTGGGGACCAGAGGGAGGACGGCTTCAGCTCAGTCTGGAACCTGGAAATAGTTTGAAACAAAACAACTCCACATTCTCTCAGCAGCCTTCCTCACTGGATGGAGTTTACATGTAAACTCCATCTGCGGAGGAAGACCATGAGATTTGGTTGAAAGTTCATGAGAAGCTCATAAATGGACCTTGAGTTCAGATTGTCCACTTTCTGTACGTGATCCAGGATCAGAATGATTTGACGTCTTTATAGTCACCTCACACATGACGTGATGTGATGCAGTTTGATCGATTACATGTTTATTGATGATTTGATTGACATTAAACTGATAATTAACGGAAAGACTAGAACCTCATAATTAATATATCAACACCAAGATGTGTGATATATATCAGTTCTATCAGTTTCATCATGTTCATTATAAGCTCTATAAAGGTTTAAATGGAGTGAACTCTGATTGTCAGAGGTTTTAAAACACTAGATGTCGTCACAAAATCAGCTCTCAATAATTTACTGACCAATAGAAGAAGAAAATTAGTGAACTGCTCAAGAATTCACTTCCTGTTTCAGACTAAGTTGCTGAAGTTGAGTATTAACCAGTAGAAACGCCAGAGACCGAAAGCTGCACAAATAAAAGTAATTCGAAATTTTCTGTGTCATGTGACAAAACTTTTGGTCCATCTGTTTTGTCCAGGTGGAGTCAGTTTTATGAGTCATGTTATCTGAATCCAAACTGATTGTCTATAGTCAATGTCTTTGAATCCTTCATGATGATTCATTATGACCAGTCTGAAGTTGACACAACTGCTGTCATGGAAACAATCTTAATGTCCTGGATTATCTCTGATATCTGTATCTCATCCCTTTGGATAAATCATCTATGCACACAGCAAAACACTGACCTGGCCTGTAATCCTCAGTGATCAGAAGCTTTATATGGCAGAACTGAAAATCAAATACACAGATAGGCTACATGTTACTGTCTCTCTGGCATCAGAGAGGTTTATGTGACATTTCATTCAAGCAGCAGCCTCCTGTTCTCTAACAGTATTTCTACTCTCATTTTAAATAAAGCATGCTGTCATTTAATTACCAAACTAAACTTTATTTCGCACATGAGCAAAGTGGAGTGTAAAACAGCTTTGATTACAAACGTCATTCTCATATCGTACAATGTCCCCACAGTTCAATACAGGCTACACGGGCCCAGTCATCAGGCTACATTCAAGATTCCTCCATGAATTGATACAATAAAACACATGTATAAGCAGAGGAACAGGAAGCTGTCTCATAGTTAACTCATCATGAAAAGCTAATTACACTTGACACGTTTGGACATCCGTGCGTAAAATACATTGAGGTCTGAACTCATTTGAAATGCAGTACTTTGTCGGGACAGGTGAGTGACAGGTAGGAGCAGAGGGGGAATCCCATCTGGTACAGCTGATGCGGCCGAGCACCGAGGACCACAGACGAGCTGAAGCCTGGACTCTGGCGCTCTGCGCATGTCTCCGCCGACAGACCGAGGATGCTGCCGCGCGTTTCGTCTTCACTCCTCGATAAGATGCTCTCGATGCTGAACCCTTTGGATTTATCCCTGCTCGGAACGTTTCCCTTCGGCCTGTCCTGCGCGCTTGCAGCCAGGTTTGTGTTTGCCGTGCAGCTGACGGCGCACAGCGGACCCCTCTCTCTCTCCCTCCCGCTGAACGCTGACCTCTTCTCGTCCGGCTCCCAGCGGAGGGACGCGCCTAGGAGATGCGCTCCGTCCATCCACAGCGGAGCGTGTCTCGGAGTGAGACACGGCTCAGGCTGCGGAGCGTCAAGCCTCCTCCCGATGGATGCTGTGGTGTCTTGGTTGGGGAGCACTTTGAGTCTTTGTATGGAGAGCGGTTGTGGCTGTTCCGCTTGGTTAAACTCCACAAGAACAGGTTTTGTGTCTGGTTGTTTTTCCACGCTCTCCGCATCCTGCCTGGCTGGTTCCTCCGCTGTCTCTGAACCAGTCTGGTGTTTCACAGGGGTTTGGGGGTCCCTGGATGGCCCCGCGCCCTTTGTGCGCTTGTGTCCAGCGGCTTTAGAGTCCAGAGCCTCCTGCTGGCTTTTTGCCTTCCTCTTCCTCCGGCGGTAGTTGCCGTTCTCAAACATATCCAGACACTTGGTGTCCAGCGTCCAGTAGCTGCCTTTGCCGGGCCGACCCTTCTCTCTGGGCACCTTGATGAAGCAGTCATTCAGGGACAGGTTGTGGCGGATGGAGTTCTGCCAGCCCTGCTTGTTGTCGTGATAAAATGGGAACCGGTCCATGATAAACTGGTAGATGCCGCTGAGCGTTGCGCGCTGCTCCGGTGCGCTCTTGATGGCCATGGCGATGAGCGCGATGTAGCTGTAGGGCGGCTTCTGCGGAGGCTCCTGGCGGGTCGGCACGAAGCTCAGGGCGGCGGGCACGACCCCTCCGCTCTCTCGGCCGTACAAGTAGAAGAGCGGGGGGGCGGAGAGGCTCAGAGCCGAGGATGCCACTCCGAGTGCCGGCAGGCGGCCGTGGTAGAGAGTCATGACGCCGAGGAAGCAGGATTGTGTCCCGGGGAAAGCTGAGCCTGCTCCCGGAGCTCCACTCCTCCACTGACTGACTCTCCAGCCTCATGAGGGCCCCAGAAAAATGTTAATAATTGCTGTACGTTTGCTGTGTTATGTTGACTTTGCACCGGGGAATAAATTGTCCATCATAAACAGTCTGTGGTGTTCTCAGCCCACCCACATTAATTAAAATTTCATTGCGCTGAAACTACCTCGTGCCCCCCCAGCGCCCCCTCCCTCGGCCCAACAACCAATGAGGTGCCGGGTTATTCCCTCATCTGTTTATAGAATTAGTCGCTTGATAAGTCTGCCCACCCAGGTTGAATCAAGCTGTGTTTATTTGGAAAAATTTCCGGGCACCCAATACATAAACGCACTGATGTGCTGTTTGAAATATCACGTCCACCCCTGACGCTGAGAGTTGCTCACACAGAAAGAACAAGCAAACATTGCCGAGTCCTTTCTGGGAGTTGCTGTGGCTTCGCTCAAATGAAAACAAAGTGTATAAAAGGGAAAATAACTTCAACAGTTTTAACTCATGTCAGGGCCTCGTCTGTCCCCCAGCCCGGAGAGAGGACCAGAGGGACTGTTTTTGTTTGTTTGTCTCTCCCCCTCTTTCTTTCTCTCTCTCTCTCTCTCTCTCTCTCTCTCTCTCTCTCTCTCTCTCTTTGTGTGTGTGTGTGTGTGTGTGTGGAAACTGATTCTATAGCAAAACCCACAATACCTTTATTCACAAATATCTGAAGACAGAGTAAATGATGGATGACTGACAGAAAATAGTTGCCTTATAATAATAGCAATAATAATAACAATAACAATAATAATAATGACGATGATGATAACAATAATAATCAAGTTTGTAAAATGTCACATTTGTAATGTTTTTTCATCAATCAATTTTATCTTTGTTATTCATTTAAAACTTTTTCCTAAAACAGTCAAATCTTAATGAACAAAAATAATAACACTCTTAAATAAAGCTACCATGTGTAATTAATCAGTGATTGTTGATTGCAAAATCCCCACACCAGGAAACAGTCGTGAGGACGTGACCTCAGAGGATCAGAGTTCTCCAGCTGCTGATGAACGTAGCTGAGAAAACAACCGAGTAAATGGACTGTGAGATAAGAAATGTTGTCAGATACTCTGGCAGAATGTAATCGTCTTCTTTGTTCCCATCTGCTGCAAAAATATACAAGAAAATGAGGTAATTTATTTCATTAATATTATAATTATATCACAAGTCAGCGTACTGATCTTAATAGGCTACAGCCAATCCCAGAGTCACCAATCGACAGGACCCGGTGGACTGTGGGAGGAAAACGGAATAACCAGAGAAAACCCACAGGACATAATGAAATTGCTTGAAAATGACATTATACCTTTGAACGATATTAGCATTAAGAAATCAAGCTGGAGTTACAGTTGAAAATCTGGTACCCTGAACACAATTAAACTACTTTAACATTACACAATTAATTGGTATCGTGGTAACTGATGAATAATATGTTGAATCAACATGATCCTTTTAAGCAGTCCAATGTGAATGAAATATCTTGGTTTGACAAGCAGTGAATCATTGAGAAAAGGGGGAATCTCATGTCAGGTGGCCACGCTCTGATCACGTGGGATCGACGTAAACATTCAAGGTATTCTTTTTCAGTGCAGATACACAGAGGACATGCAGACTCCCTGGACCCTGAACCCTGACCCTTCAGTCTAAATTCTGCTTTACCTTTATCATTTTATCTGTTGAAGAAAATGGACAGATGTCTTCCTTTGCCGATGGGCTTCTTAAATTGGTCCCCAATGTCTTCAGGGCCACGGGTTCCTACTGGTTGTGGAAACAAAGTGGAGCAGTGGACTGGTTTATTTGCTCATTGTTCTAAATAAGTGGAACAAGGGAAAAATAAACTAAACTGATCGCACCAGCTGTGTAAAGCTGATGGTGACTCACTTCATTGTTTTTCATAACTGGAGCAGTTTACAGAATAATGCAATATCTGACAACATCACAAACCTAAACTCACAGTGATCAGAGCTGCACTCACACCTCTACAAAAAAATCTGAACATGAGCTTCATTCAGTTCATATTTATTTATGCCGGAGCATCGATCTGGATTCAAATGAAACCAGACCGGTCTAGTTTAACAACAAATCGACCAAGAGAAAATGAAGAAATAATTCTCATAGTAGTTCAGTTCATTCATTAAGTAAATGCTAAATATTACCTTAATCATGCCTCTCAAATGTCGGAATTTGCTCCTTTGATTTGAGGTTATTTGTGGTGGTGACGTGACAAGAACCAACAGACTTTAAGATATGTATTCCAAATTAATTACAATGATAAAAATACATAATTATATCACAAATAACATAATAAAAAAATAATACATAATCCTTACAATACATTGTGCTCAGTGGATACAGTTGCATGTTCATGCGCTTTAATTGTCCTCTGAGAAGCGGGCGCTTGGGACTGTACTGCCTTACAAGGACAACATGGACAGTGTATTATTTGTAGATGTGAGCATGATGCTTTATATTATGTATTTTCCTGTTTATAGGTCAAAGGAGGATTATAACAACTTTACAAGTGCACACAGCTGGCTCCTGCTTACATTAGGGGTTTGGAGCTTTCAGTGAATAAACTCAGAAGTCCTTCTTTTCTCTGTTTCTCTGTCAGCAGACGGTGATTCATTAGCAAATAAAACTAAACTTACATGCCAGAGACGTGTACAGGCAACGGCGAGCAGGATTTGACTTTTTCAAAGGGCAGCTGCTGGAAGATTCTTTCCATCCACAACTGCTGAAGACGCCTTTTAGAATTTATATTAATCTAATTAATTTATATTAATGCAAGAGCCTATCAGCTGGTGACCTGGACATCTGGGACTGTGATGTGGACAGTGGGAGTTTTTCAGAAGCCCTCGCCCCTCTGTTAATTCTGCAGCCTCAAAGCTGAGTTCATAAAACTGGAATTGTGTGCAACATTTAGCAGCATTATGTAATTGTTACAGGTACTTGCCTCCCTTCATTGGCTCCTTGTTAGATTTCAGATTGATTCTGTATTTGTTTGCATTACTGACTTTTAAGTCTTTAAATGGCTCTGCCCCCAATTACATTTCTGATTTATTGACATGGTATGTGCCCAACTGAGAACAGACCTGCAGAAGGAGGCCTGTTGGTCTCCTCAAGGTCAAGGTTTGTGACTAAAGGTGACCGAGCCCCCACGCTCTGGAGCTCTCTCCTGACTGAAAGCAGACACTGCAACTCTTTAACCTCCTTTACATCTCTTCTAAAAATGCATTTCTTTTTCTAAGCCTTTGGTAATGTATGGCACGGTTTAATAATATTGTTATATCCCAAATTACTGTTCATATATTATATTGCCTCTTTTCACTCACTGTCAGATCTTTATGCATCACGTTGATTTGAGATGTTTTTTTTTATCCATGCAGTTCTACTCTTTTACTGAGCTCAGGTATTTTTGACTTTTCTTTTATCTGGTTTTACTTTTCTTGTAAAGTACTTTCAAACTTTGTTAAGAAAAGTTCTGTATAAATACTGTTATTATTATGACTAACTTCATACCGTACATACATCTAATTTGATATCACCTGACAGTGCACAGCCAACAAAACTGTGTACATTACTATCACATCATTGGCATGAGAAATCACATAATTCAAAACATTTTCAGTTCAGAAGGAACTAGAACAATGTTTCAAATCAATTATGAAGAGATTACCAAGTTTTTTATTGGAAATACAATATTTCTTTTTACCCAGGGTGCCACAGCTCATTGTACCATCTTGAGATTTTCCACTTTTGATGTTCAGCTGCCTGATGTTGACCAAACACATGCTATAAACAGGCAATCTCAACAGAGGGCCAAATCTCTGCTGTTTCCTGCCATAATGTAGTGTAGTCAGTCAGAGAGCTTATCTATTCCTTCCTTAACTGACGTAGGAAAAGAGAAATGTTGAGGATCTTTGAGGTGGATCAGATCCAAGCTCACTGACAATCAATAAAAGCTGGTGTTAAAAAATTCAAACACAGCACTGTAGTTACATTACAGATCCACTCCTGGCATGTTTTAACACATCGAAATTTTCTGTTTTGAATAATAGTCTCTTCTGTCTCTAAACTCTCACTTGGTTAAAAGTTACATCTACACATTTTCCCTCATATCTATGAATATACAAATATCTTTAATTTCAAAAGTTTAACAGCTGGACACAAGTTTCAGGTTTCTACATCACACTCGTGTGTGTTGCCTCCAGACTGAGGGTGATGTCACAACATTGTGCTGTTCCACGCATCACAGTGAGACTCGTGTCTTTCAGCACAGACTTTCTGCACGATGAAGCTCAAGCCTCCAACTGAAGTAACAAATGTATAGTTTGTAAAAAAAATCAAAAAATAAAATAGTGGTACATTTTCACTCTAAAAGTTTGAAGTTTGTCCAGCATACATAACAAAGACAAGTTCATTTGCTGTTTAACTAAACTAGAACATTAAAAAGAAAAAAAATGACTCAATGTCCACTTACCTGATTTTTCTGGAGCTTTCATCCATTCTCTTCATCCATCTCTTGCTCTTGCTAATAATATAATAACATTCTGCAAAACCAAAACAATGAAGCTGTGTAGTGGCTATTTGTCTTTCAAACTAATTTAAGTCCAACCTAAAAATAAAAAGGCCACTGATGCACCATGGGGGATGTGGTTTATGCAGGTAAACGAATATATTGTCCAAACAAAGCCATTGTGTTTTCATTTTGACTTATTCATCAAACAAGCAGCAAACCAAGGAACAAAGGGATCATGTTTCCTGCTGCCTCTCCTGCTCTGGTAAAAAACATAGGTTCACCCAGGTGCATGCTGGTCCTAAACTAGTGCACCTATCTATGTACTAGTTAACCAAACTAACTATGATAGATAAGCAAATAATGTAAAGAAACTAACGACTAACAAAATAGATTTATTATCAAAAAAGAAAAAATGAATGAAAGTAATCAAACTCAAAACAGATGAATACATAATAG